TTTCACGCACACCCAACACACATAAGTTCTTACAAAAAATGCCACAAATGCAAAGAAATATCCTAGTGATGCTGAATATAGGCAGCAATGACCACGAAGGAACAGAAGGATGGTGCCTTTAAGGGATTTTTCTCGTATAGTTACATTGAAGACCGATGATTATGCAAATAAAACAGGAAAATCTGTAAAGGAAAATACTTTTTTCCTCACAGGAATGAAAACAGTATTAATAATACGGCTCTGGGGATTTTGATATTAAGCACCACTAGTGACAAAAGATAAAAAACAGCAATTCAAATGCTTTTCAACTGTCTTATGCATCCATTAATATTCTTTATCCTGGATTTTACATTTCTCATTTCTTTCCTGAATGAAGGAGGCAAATGGCTTAGGCAGAGGGAAGAGAAAGAGAAGGCAAAGAAAGCAAATCAAATGGAACAGGGATCTGCGACAGGTAAGAAAAAGTCATGCATCAAGCCAAGGCAGCTGCAGCAATTTGAATGTATTTATATTGTCACATAGCTAACGGACTAGGCCATGATTTTGGGATCATTTCTAGAACTAGCAGTCAGGGCTTCTAGAACTCATGGCAATCCTTGGAAAAATGGATGGATGTTTAAGACACTCCTCTGGGCAGTGTGTAAGATGCAGAAGATGAACAGCAGGGTAGATACAGTCAGTGCAAAATGAAGGTCACAGAAGAAACTCTTCTGGTTCGCAGCTCCTAAGGTTATACCATAAATTAGGAAATGTGTGTGTGGGTAAGTGTTTATGTGTTTTTTCTCCACTATTTATACAGCCATCCACATTTCATTTGCTGCTCTCTCTTATAGATAAATAAGCTACTTTCCCAACAGAAACAATACAATATGTCTTTCTTAAAACTTATCTAAAACACTGAACAATCAGAAACCCATATTGTAACAAATTATTTGGAAATGATATTTGCCAAGACTTTACATTTAAGTCTAAGTAAAAGTCTAAGTAAAGTCTAAGTAAAAACTGAACCCTGTTCAAGAACAGTTCCTGCAAGAGAGAACCCCAACTGCTAATTTAGCAATGTATTTCTGTTTTATCAAACCTAGTATCTGCTTTATGAAAATCTGATTCCCCTCCTACCATGCTTCTGACCAGTATGTTCTGTTTCTTTTCGGTGAAACTTAGTATCATGCTGTGGTTTCACGTTGAGATGAAAATTGGAAAATAGGTATACAGGTTTAGTTCAGAATCTCAACAATCTGTTTTTCCTTTGTGAAATCTTAATCCACTTTCCATACTTTCAATGTTAACAGTTTCTGACAAACCTTTCCTCCTCCTGAATATCCCATCTACGTAAATGACCTTACACTACGTCAATAGTATAGAGCAAGAATTTATTTCTTTTATTGCATTGTAAATAAAACAGAAGGTAATGATCCATTATTAAAAAGGGCTTTCCTCCCATGCTTTCTAAGACTCATCAGGAGTAACAATTTCTTTTTTCTTTTCTCATTTCATTCTGATCTACAGGTACAGTCCTATTATATCCCTTGTGATGCCTTGGAGCATCACAATATTTTAGCTCAAACACGCACACTCCTTCAGCCAATGAAAGTGATTTAAATTAGTACCTGCAGGCAGAATAAATTAAATAAAGCATATAATAATACTATACCTACTCCTCTTCTCTGGACAAAGGAAATTAATATTCTGTGCCTGACGCTCTAATAAACAATTTTATCTCACTAGAATAAAAATCCATACTTTTGCACATTTACTAAATATTAAGATATCTCAATGACAGCATTAAAACAGAATAGGTAATTATTTCTTGCAGAGAGAAGAAAGACACAGGGTTCTCTTTTTAAGAACTTCACTATTTATGAATAATGGTTTTCTAGCACTGGATACAGAATTTCTTTATCTATAGAACAACAATAATAATAACTTAAAAAAAAAAAAGCATCAAAACTGATCTACACTGTTTCACAAGTATGTCTCTATTACTGACTTCACATTTCCAGCAGCAAGAAAATATTCCTTAACGGATTTCTTGGCTTCTGCGTTAGAATTTGGATTTCTGAAAAAAAGAGCTACCCACCACAAGCAAAGAGAGCACAGGGATCTTCTGCTAAGCAACCCTGGCTGATGGAATTCCTGAGGCACCCACTGACAGGCCACGCTGGCCACAGGCTGCATGGTAGTGACCCTCCTGCCGCCAAAGGGGTGCCAAGGAAACAGTCTGGCCAGAATGAACTCAGTGGGCCCCGATGCTGTTTGCGGTGAGCGATTCTCTTAAATTTGGGGGGAGATCCTCTCTTCAAAGTAGTGTAGAATGCATCTCTGCTATTTCAGATTATGATTAAAAAAAATTTCTCCTTTAATTTTAATTAAAATTACCTACCCTCCAGTAGGTGGAAGGATACTGCCTGCGGGAGCCTTTCTTTTAGCTAAAAAATTGTTTTATACAATCAGCATGACAATTAGTGAGTTCTTTCCTATTAAAAGGAAATTATAATCGCGATGTATTTTGGTGATTGATCCATAATCATGATGCAATTAAAATGTAAAGAACAGTTTGAAAACCTCTTAGAATAAAAACTTCAGTAGGAATATTGAAGAAAGGTAATTCACAGTTGCCTTTGACTAAACTCCAATGTATAACTCCCTAACACTTCAAGTTCATCTATGTAGCACAGGAAAACAAAAATAATTACTCCAAGTCATGTGTTGTTCTTCACTACCTGTCAAATTTCTCTTTGCTGTTATTTAGACCAAGTAACAACTTACCTCAGAGTCTGTGACATTTTGCAGGTGGCCCTGCAATGAGGCAAACTAAATTACCAAGGTTTGAAAAAGAACTAAAGAAAGAAAACACCAATTTCCCTGCATGTCTCTACAAGTTGCAGTAATGGTAACTTTTTCCATGAGGGCATCTAATCTGCTTTTCATGTCCATGAAACCCTGTTAGTCATGTGGAATATACACTTCTGATAATCAACTGAAAATCACCTTTATTCAAAATTAGATTTGAAATTGTTACAGAACAAGTTACTTTCTATTTTTGATTCTACCAAGTTCCCATGCCTCAGAAACATAAATTATCCAGTAATTTCTACTCTTGAAATGAAAGCGAAAAGAAACACAGAAGGATGACAAGAGGGAGAGGACACGTCAACTGTTGGCAGGATTTCCCTTATTCATGGAAATCTCAAGTGAAATTCTGCCTAAGTTAACATAAAACTTGATGAGCTCGGAAGTGCCAGCATTTCAGTCCTGACCTGCTGCCCTGAACTCCATCTTCTGGTGCTTCAAATCAGCAGTTGTTCCCAGCTCAGGTGCCACTTTGTTCCCAAGCAAGTCACAGTCCTGAGGCTGACCTCATTCTTTCAAGTATAAAAAGAAATCCTTTCTCCTTTTGTCATGGCAATCCAATCTAGTATTTATAGGCTCCACTACAGTGCCAAATCATTTGACAGACCCAAATGATATCACTAGTCACTTAAATTGATACTCTTTTTGATAGATAACAAAAGGAGCAAGAGCTCAACCAAATTCACTGCCTTAGAAGAAAAAAGTAGGTTTCAGTAGTAGCAGTAAAATCATGGAGCATAATCGCATAGTAGTTACTACATGGAGGGGAGGTCACTGTCCTAAAGGATGTGAGCACAAACACACTACTCCTGTTGTACTTCTGTGTAAATCTGACAGGAACTTTTTGTGAGGTGACCTCCGTGATTTATTTTCAGCATTTTCATTTTATGTTCTCCTATCAGACACACATTTCTACCAGCATTATTATTATCAATATGCTGTTTCAGAGCAATTCCTTCAAGATAATATTAATTTCAAGACTTAAAAGTGTGTTTCCCTACCCTATTCCTTCCCATTTCCATTTTTGAAAAGGAAAAGGTTATGCTATTTCAGCCTTTTTGCTCTTCTTTTTTTTAAGTGCACGGAGTATTTTTAGGCTCCTCTTTTTTCCTTGCACAATGAAGAGTGCATGTATCATCCTTTTTTTTTTTTTTTTTTTAAGTTATTTATTCTCTGTTCCAAGCTGCGGAAACAACTCTTGCTGAATATTATTTTTATCTTTCTCAAAGATGAGTGATTTATTTTTAGTTGCTACTTTAGGCCAGGATGCTGCACACCAATGTCCCTTGCATTTATTGTGTTGATTAATTTAAGCTTTTTTAAAAAGTAGTACTGAAATATTTTTTTTTCTCCTGGAAAAGGAAGTCACAGGGGATAGAGAGATCAATTATTAATCAGCACTAACCCAAAACTAAAAATAGGAATAAAAAATAAAGTATCTTAGAGACTCGAGTGTTCAGTCCTGAATGAATTTATGTCAGATCATACTTATCCCATAAATCTCAGAGATCCTGCATTTACTGTATGATGTAAAGCACAAAATTAGCTTTTAATTATAGTAAAAACACTTTTTTTATTCTCTACTTATAAAAGAAAATTAAGATGTAATGTAACTATGACAATACAAAGGAACTTCGTAATTAAGAATCAAGTTAGTATACAGGTAAGAGTTCATTTCAATAAAAGTTTAAGAAAAAATAGTAAAACAAATCTTAATTGGAAAGCAAACTCTCTTAAAAGTTTAAATTATAACTTGGCCTGACAAATTTCCCAACCCAGACATGCTGAGCAGCATCAGCAATCTGACTGGAGCAGCAGCGGCCCTGCTGCCCATGCAACTTTCCACAACATTATTTTTAAACTAGATGCTCCAGACGGTAGCACAGATCTACAGCACTGCTACTGAAGCTGCAAGAATAACATGCGTTGTAAATAAGCTATTATTTATTTCAGAATCAAGTCTTATCATTCATTTTAGCCACCCAGATAAGAAAGGATTACATTTAAAGATGTCTGCATGCCATTGTAATGGGCATGAAGAAACAGGAAAGATATGAAACGTAAATGTTTTCATTGCATTAGCTATTAACACTATGATTCCCAGTTGCCAGCTACTCTGAGCATTAAAAGAAAGAAAAAGCTCTTACTTTGCTATTATCAGCCTTGCAGTGGTTTTAACCGCGTTAGAAGTCAAGCCCCACTTGCAGGGCGTTTCAACTTTTAGCTGGAGGCAGTCACTGACTTGAAAATATTTTGGTTTTGCTTCCATCTGCAGAGATGATAAAAAGTAAAACACATTTAGTTGCAATACCAGCTATAAATCAAATACACACAGGTGCACTGTCTTTTGAGAGAAAAGGGGGGGAAAAAAAAAGCGTCAGGGGCTTTTCAGACCATAGAAAGGGAAAACGTATGAGAAAAGGAGAGAGCATTTTCCCCTTAAATTGATGTTTCTACTGGCTGTGCTTGATGATTCTCCAGGCAATTCATTTAGCCCTCGGCTCTGCCTAGCTGAGCAGCCTCTGGCTCCTGCTTGATTGGACACCTTTGGTTGCCATTTCTGATTTGTGTAATCAAGTCTTATCAATTTCGCACATACCCGACTCTTTCTAGCCATCTAGAAAATTATGTAAACCTTCCACATTATCTTTTTATTCATGCTGAATTCCCTTTAATGATTTCATTGTCTCTCCTCTCGAAGGTAGATGTTCAAACCCTGCTCCTCCGGCGCGCCTCTCCAGCCGCAGTGCTTGGGCAACGTCTCGCACATGGATGTCCAAGGGCTTCCCGGCCTGCCCCCGCCCCGCCTCAGCCCGGTGTGAAACACCTCCTCTCGCAGCACCATGAAGCAGGGCATTGCCAGCCCTCTACTGAGGCTTCACAAGATGCTTAAGCTTTACTTGGACAACCTTATTCAGGTGAAAACATAAAGAACTTCAATGCACAAACAAAGAACAAATGTAACCTTGCGGTCTCGAGTTCAGTAGCACTCATCTTTCAGAACATAAAAATAACACAAGGTGCCCTAGACCTCAAGGGAACGCTGCCTGCTGGCAACCCCGCCTGCCACAGGTTCTTTTGATCTTCAGGAAGGCAACTTTGTTCTTTGTACGCAACCAAAACTGATTTAAAGATGACCTGAAATTTCTCCCGTAACGGAAAAACAAGCACACGTGGCTCCTTGGGGCGCCGCGGCTCGTGTTCAATGGTACCTCCCTTCCCTCATGGCGCCTCCCTCCCCTCACGGCGCCTCGCGCGGGTGCCTCGCCCCGGCGCGACGTGGGTGACGTCGCTGCGTACCGCGTCACGCGGGGCGTGGCGCCGGCGGGAAGGTCGCCGCGGTGACCGGCGGGGAGCGGGCGGCGCCGCCATGTTGTCCGTGGCCGCGCGCTCCGGGCCCTTCGCGCCCTACCTGTCGGCCGCGGCGCACGCCGTGCCCGGCCCGCTCAAGCCGCTCGCGCCGGCCGTAGCGCCGCGGGCCGCCAGGGTGTCGCTGGAGCCGAAGCGGCCGCTGCTCTGCCGGGAGTCCTTGAACGGCCGCGCGGCCCGCGGCGGCCTCGTCGCCAGCGCCAGCCTCAACGGTGCGGGCCCGGGACGCGGGGGAGGCCGCGGGGGCGGTTCGGGCCGGCGCGGCGTGCGGGGCCGGGACGCCGGTTACGGGCCCCGCTCTCACCTTCGCCGTAACGCGGGGGCGGCCGCGGAGCTGCGAGCAGGGGGAAGGCGGCGGCGCCTTCAGCCGTCCTGGGGGTCGGTGCGCGGCGGCCGCGGCGGGACGGTGCCAGAAGGCACCGTGCCCCCCACTGAACTGGCCTGAAGGGGCCCCGCAGGAGCCAGCAGGAGCGGGAGGCAAGAGCAATTTAAACGAAGCAAAGGGAAGTTTTGTAATGGGAAGCAAGGGAGGGGTTAGACTGGCACAGAGCAAGTAGTTGTGATCATGACTCCGGCTGTACCTAAAGCTTTGCTGTGCTGGGAGCACCGTAGTTCTCGGGTTCATGCAGTGTTTTGGAAAAGCAAAAGTCAGGTGAAGTTATTCAAGGTAGTATTCAATGATGGTTATTCTTGGATTTGCAGAACCTAATTTCCAGCCAAAGAAGGGCAGCTGATCTCCATAAAATGCAAATGCTGTTTGTACGGATGGCATTTTGGCAGTCAGAAATTACATCTTTTCCCTTGCTCATACAACAGGGTAACAAGTACTCACTAACGGCTGTGATAAGGGCTTGAACAAAGACCAGTTACTGACAGACCTCAAGACTCTGCTGCCTAACACTAGTTGTACCTTCTCTGGTAAGGGATATAATATTGCCCTTGTAAATGAAAAGAGCGGCTTGTCAGAACCAAGGCTGAATTTCTGTGGCTTGTTATAGGACATCAAATGTGACCCCGCTCAGCCTAAGCAAGGCAATACATACCAGGCCAGAAAATAAACTCTTCATGAGAGCAAGAGATCTGCATTTGCAATAGACTTTATATGAGATACCAGAAATACTCCATGAGGACTACCTGACTGCCCAAAATTACGAATCTTCCGTGCCTATTAATATAAATTTTAATGTGGTACTTTCATTCAAGCCTAATAGAAGGAGATAGGACAGTTTTTTTGTTTTAAGTATGATTCAGCAGTGGCCCTTGCAAATTTTTAAAAGGCTAATAAGAAAACTATTTTCTGTAATAATTGCCTGATATTCTTTTGCTTGCAGCACCTGCCAGTGTTCGTTGCATCCATAACGATGTCGCAGTACCCGACTTCTCTGCCTACCGTCGTCAAGAGGTGTTAGATGCCAACAAACCTTCTCAAAGCAGCAGTGAAAGCAGAAAAGGGTTTTCCTACCTGGTGACTGCAACAACATGCGTGGCTTCTGCATATGCTGCTAAGAATGTTGTCACTGAGTTTATTTCCAGCCTCAGTGCTTCTGCTGATGTGCTAGCACTGTCAAAGATCGAGATCAAGTTATCTGACATTCCAGAAGGCAAGAACGTGGCTTTTAAGTGGAGAGGGAAGCCCCTTTTTGTGCGGCACAGAACCCAGGCAGAGATTAGTCAGGAAGCTGATGTTGATTTGTCTAAACTGAGGGATCCGCAGCATGATTTAGACCGAGTAAAGAAACCAGAATGGGTTATATTAGTAGGTGTCTGCACTCATCTTGGTTGTGTACCCATTGCTAACTCGGGTGATTTTGGTGGTTATTACTGCCCTTGCCATGGGTCACATTATGATGCCTCCGGCAGAATCAGGAAGGGCCCTGCTCCATATAACCTTGAGGTTCCGGTTTACCAGTTTGTTGGTGATGATTTAGTGGTTGTTGGCTGAATAACAAGGTGCCTGCTCACTTTTGTGTTTCCATGAATGTACTCTGCAAGGAAGTCACTGAGATTCTGGAATGCTGTGAAAGCAGATGGCTCTAAAAGCATGTTAGGTGGCCAGATTCTCAAAAATGTTTAAATATTTGCTTCTGTTAAGTTTTAATAAAACTTGAAGTAAGTGAACAGTTGTTTCTGACTTTTGATGGACTGCATTTGTGTGCTGATTTCTAATGAAAGTGTCTGGTCCTGAGAAAGCCTATAGCATCCCAAAAGTGTGTCCACAGGGCCCTCTTGAAGGGATGCTAATCCAAGACACATCCAGAAGTAAAATAACATTTTTCATAGAATATGTTTCCATTTTTTTTAAACACTTTCTGCACTACAGCAAGAAACATCTTTTAGAAAATGTTGCTGAGAGCTTCTAGCAGTCGTTGGAGTCAGTTAGTTTAGATTCCTATTAGATATAGTCCTTTTTCTTCTAGTCTTGTTATATTTCAAAACAGTGAAGAGAATCATAAATGAAAATCTCGGAAAAGAAGATTCTTCTATGTTGTTCAAAGGCAGCTTTTCATTGTTTAGCTGTCAGATTGGCAGTGTAATTTTATGATGATATGAACAAAGAACAAACGTGTCAATTACAAAATAATTCTTTTGGTAAGGCTTGATCTTGTATCTGCGTAAATCATTAATTCATATTCTTAGGATATCGTGGAAATCTTGTGACACTTTTCCACAAGAAAAGCCAGGAAGGGGATAAAAAGGAAAGTTCACAGTTTGCACAGCGTGGAAAGATGCACTCAGTCCGAACTGATCTGTAATGTTAAGTGTAGCAAAGCTTAAGATGCCATATGACAGAGTTTAAGACTCAACCACTTGTGTGAAAATGATTATTTCCCCTTGCCTACAGACTAAGCTTAGTCAAGGCCCAAACTCCTATAAGTCAAAAAAAGTTAAACACATAAATGAAAAAGAGCAAGAGTTCTTAAGTTCTCTAATTGGGATGTCTTTTGTTCTTCCTCTTTCAAATCTTCAGAAGAGGAAAATGAAGACTGAATGTGATTCAGTCCTCTCAAAATTTAGACAACATAGTCTTACAGACAACATAGATTTAAAAATAAAAACATTTCAGTAAATTTCAAAACCATTGAAATTTATCACACGAAGTAGAAAAATATAAGACTTTAACATGTTTTCTTTTAATAATATGACAGTACTAATGGCTGCAGTCACTGCAGCAGCACAGTGCAGCAGCACAGTGACTTTGTCCTCCTCCTGCCAGAGGAAAACTGGCTTCCTACAGATAGGCTACAAGGGGGAGCAGATGCTCACATGTAGCACTGCTACTTCCTTTGCTATTTGAAAAATATCATGGCCAAGGCAGTTTGACATCCCACCCGCAGAACACATCATCCCCACACACCAAGAACCACCTCCTTATATACACAAAGATATATCAGACTTAAAATGCTTTCATTTCACATTCCCTGGGGTATTTTCAGCAGTGGCTTTTGGTAAGCTGGACATTTGTCCTATGCAATTTTTCAGGCTGCAATCACAGTGCCACTTGTCCTGCTCACTTCTCTTACTTAACCTACTGGAAGAGTTATTCTTGATGATTTCATTTGACAAAGCTCTCGCCTTGTGTCAATCATATTTCAGAAACATTTGTTTCTCAAGACAGGTTCATTTTTTGACAAATAATCTATCCTTACTTATAATTCATATCCATAGATATAGGCAATTCTGACACAGAGTCTTAAATCATCAACCTGCTCCTGCCTGAATTTCTTGTAATAACCAGATCACTCCACTGAGGTCACTAAAGGCTGCCATTGCCAGTGCTATTTATCTTTCAAATCTGTTCTCTACCTGTTCATTCCATTTTATTTCCCAGGCAAATACACTTGCCCTTATTGCAGCAGGTTATCTGCTCTGCGGCAGGTCCCAAATCCATTCACCTTTCCCGTGGCCAGGAACACCGCACGTGCTCTGCGCAGGGAGGGCACTAATCAGATGTGGGCCCCGCGCTTTGGTTGTGCTCAAAATCCTAGTGCAAACCCTATGGATTACTCAACGGTGAAGATCTCAATGTATAGAAGATGAGGGGTAGCAATCACAGCACGTGAGCAGGTGTCATCCTGCAGGGACAAGGGTGCTCATTTTTGCACTACATTTGGGGTGTCTTGGCACTCCAGCCTAAGTAGCAAAACGAAGGCACCAAGAGCACTAACAAACTGCAGTTCCATCAACGCCAGAACCCCGCCCAAGGACAACACGGCCAAAATCACAGCCCCTCGTCCTTCACTAGGAAGCATTTAGCGATCTGAAGGAAAACCTCTCAAATCGCGATTGCGCCTTGTCCCCATTGTGTTCATGACGCTTTAGCCATTTTTCCTTCCCTTTCTCTTCCACAAAGCTCTGCCACAAGAGAAACTGCTGGACACTGTGGTTTTTAGCTGCCTTTCACTCAACCGCAATCTATCTGCAGGGTGTTTCTCCCAGGTGAGATATAATCTATTAACAATTTTGGCAGCTTCTTATGTGCTTTTTGCAGTCTTTTCCTGAGGGAACTTTAAAAAAATTCTTTTAGCTGATTTGTATTTGTTTGGACAAAACACTTTTCTCCATTTCCTCCTATAATTTGTTTTATCGATATCAATTTCATCTCTGAGAAAAGGATATCTGAACACTTAAATTATTTGGTCTCTATATTACAATCTTTAGACTTAGTTGCAAAGCCATTCTGGTTTCCTGGACAGCTTTTGGAAACATCCACATTTATCTGTTTATGTTTCTATTTGGAAATAAATCACAACAATAAATTAAGACCAACATGCTTGCCTAGAATTATCTTTATCCTCTCAATTAACTAATGTTCATAAAAATACTTTCATCTAAGGATCTTCAACGCCGCTCTTACTGTTATCTTCTCAGTCGCATCCCAGTTGCATGGCAGGGCACACTCCTCTATGACAGACTGCTTTGAAGTCAGGAAACTGCCCCAGAAAGTCACGGCCTAGGGATGTTTGTGACAACTAATTGTTGATTTTGTTAAAGCTCTAAATCACTCTGGGAGAGCCCAAGTGTTTCAAATATGCTTGGTTCAGAGCTGATCTAGGGCAAGATGAGCTCCTCACTCACGCGTCTCCACTCTCCAACCCCGATGCTCTTGTCCTCAGCATGACCACAGAAACCTCTCCACAAGCTGAGAAACTTATTTCTCACTCATTTATGTACTAATCTTTCCAGGCTCACCTTGCTGCAAACATATCCAACCCACCCTTACACTTGGACATCATATAGACAGATTTGCAACTACCTCCCAATTCCCCCAGTACATTTGATTAGTGACAGACCAGAATTATTTAAAACAGTAGAAAAGAAATACTTGTTTACCCCATGTACCCTTCTCTCAAAATGTGTGCAAGGCAGAGACTTAACAGGCAGTTTGAGGGGGGGTTAGGAGGTTCATAGCTCCTATCCATCATGCCTTAGTTGACCCTCCTCAAACTGATTCTTCTTAAAAGAGGCTGTTTCAGCTCCAGCTGCCCTGCAAAGGGGCTAGAACTCACGGCGGCCGTGGGGCCCCGCGGCCTCTGCTTGGGTCACTTGTGCGGGACCCTTTCAGTGCAGAGGCAGCCGAGCTTGGCCTGTGTGATATAATTTGCTTTGAAAGTAACCGGATAAGCTCTAGGACAGTCCTGACAAATAGCACAACTCCAGAGGCAGTGGGAGCAAGACCACGTCTGGGAACACAAATTTGCAGGGCCTGTTTTGAAAGTAGCTTTCTTCAATCGTTCATTAATTAATCCATTTACCAATGGAATTTATCCAATCTATTTACCTTAGCACGATTACCTACTTATTTACATCTTGTGAATACAGTTTTTCTACAATTTTTCAATCAATTGTGAAAAAGTAGATAAGCTATCTAGTTCCTGTAAATAACATATTAATTTTTCTTCATACAAAACAATTAATTCTGAACAGTGACACCACATTATAAAACAATTCCTAATAAAACACGCTCTAATTATGAATCCAAAGCTGCCATTGTTTTTGAAATTTGTTGGCTTTCGGATAGATTAGAATAAAGCAAATCACTGCACATTTCAATAATGCAGTTGTCAAATAAAGCCATAATGCCCAGCTGAAGACTAACCACAATATATAATTCCACATAAGAGCTAATTGACAATTGATTTTTTTTTTTCTTTTTAAGCACCAAAAGAATTCATCATTATTAACACTATTACAGTGAAAGCCAAAGGAATTAAAATGGATTTATCACTAATTGAAGGGTTCTGCAAATATTAGCCCTACTGCAGGGAGCAAAAAGGCAGGCGGGCGGCAGCCTGCTCCTCTTATCCTGCTCCGAGCAAACAGTGCCCGGGGACAGGCCTGAGGATGGTCAAATCGTCACACCTCAGGAAAAGGTTGGGAGCTTCTTGGGCGGCCCGAGGCCACCCAGTCCTGCCCAGCTCCACAGAGGAGCCGCCTTTGCTGTACGCATGACCAAAGAGCATTGGTCCTTGCATATGTTTTTGCACCTATTTGCTACTACATCTGAGGCGAAGGATCCCTAATTTGAAGCTAGGATTTATGATGAACAGTATAAACGCTTATAAAGCCAAACAAAAGCAAAACAATGCAATGCAATATGGATTTAACCATCAAATCGGTAGGGAAGGCAGCAGCTCATCAAGTTTAAAGAAAGTCAAATACTTGAGTAAAGCTTCCATCCATGTAGCATCATCTTGGACGTTTAACACCATCAATGACCTTGATGGTGTACTTGCAGGGATAAACATCTACAAAAGGGAACTGGGAGAACAGGAGTGTTCTTTATTTGGTGAAAGAAAAAAGTTCCAGTGAGTAAGCATAATGTGTCCTACAAGGGGCACAGGTGCTTGGGGGCCCCTGTAGCTACAGCGCGAGTGGGGCTGTGATCACACTGCCCTCCTGCCCGGGAGCGATGGGGACGCAATTTCCAGCCTGAGGATACGGGTCCGTATCTTTCCGGGAGGAATTCCTGCCTCCCGGGAGCCCAGAGCAGCTGTGTACCAGCAGCAATCGTGCATGTGTCTCTGCACTCACATGGACACATTCACATTTTGTTTTTATTGTTTCCTATAGCTTTTTTTTTCTGGCTGTAATTAGAGTTAATCACA